AGGGTTTGCAAGAGATTTGATTCTGGAGGGGTTCCCAGGCCCAAGGAGAGGGCTCCAGATTGTTCCCTGGACAGCAGAGGAGAGGGTGCCTGAACTGGCTTTGGCCCATAACCATACTGATGAATATTTTGCATATCACCATAGAACCTTCACCTTGCAATGGATGGAGATAGAGACAGAGACACATATTGGAACACTGGACTTAACTCCCTAGGTCCAAATGAGAAGAAGAAGGAGGGAGAACGTGAGCAAGGAAGGCAGGATCAGAGGGAACCTTCATCCGACAATGGATGGAGATAGAGACGGAGACCCACATCAGAGCACTGGACTGAGCCCCCAAGGTCCAAATGAAGAGCAGAAGGAGGAAGAACATGAAAAAGGAAGTCAGGACCGCGGGCGTTCACCCACTGATACAAGGGGACTGATCTAATGAGAGCTCACCAAGGCTAGCTGGACTGGGACTGAACGAGCATGTGATCAAACTGGATTCTCTGAATGTGGCTGACATGGGGGCTGACTGAAAAGCCATTGACAATGGCACTGGGTCTTGTTTCGTCTGCATGTACTGGCTTTTTGGGATCCTAGTCTGTTTGGATGCTCACCTGGAGGGAGAGGGGAGGAACTTGAACTTCCCACAGGGCAGGAAACCCTGGCTGCTCTTAGGACTGGAGAGGGAGGAGGAGAGGGAGTGGGGGGAATGGGAGGGTTTTGGGAGGAGGGGAGGAAGTGGAAATTTTTATAAATAAATAAATAAATAAATAAATAAGAATCCCTTCATTCTATTCTTTCCCTGTATCAATACACTTATAATTGGGCAAGTTAATGCTTCCTTTTCATCCATTAAGTTTGGTGGGGATGAAAGGCCATGTGTCTATGACATGAGAGAAGTGAGACAGGCTAAGGGAAGCGAAGGCAGGCATGGTGGTGGTAAAGCATCTTATAAGCGCAAGGTTTAATTCTGGAAACCAATGTTCAACTAACAGGTCCTCTTCCTTAAAGGTCCACGTTCCTCCCCTTCTTCTCATGACTTAATGCAGTCCCAGAGGTATTTCTGTTTGTCACCGATGCGTCTGGCCGGACAGACATGAGCCACCTACTTTCTCCAGTCTAAAGAGGTATTTGTATTGTGTTTGGACGTCTTTGATTTGGAGTCCCTTGAAATCTTTTTTTATATATTATTTTTTTAGAATTTTTTAAAATACTTTTTTAATGTACCTGGAGGGACAGCCGGGGGTGCTGGGAACCGAACTCTTATATTTTTGGCTGTGAGTCTAGCCTTTAATGGCTGAGCCATCCCTCTGGGCCAGAGTTCCTTGAAATCTTGACCCCATGTAGTGGGCTGTCCCTAGAGGGTGTGGAGTAGGGTGTAAACATCCACATTTCTAATAAGCTTCCAGACGATTCAGATGCTCCTGGTTCCCCGGACTGCACTTAGAATGACGGTCTCAGGGGTCTTTGGTGGGAAACAAAGGACTTCGGGATACAAGAAAATAAGGTTCAAGTTTTGGAGTCAGACAGACCGTTTCTAGCCAGCACTTGGCTACTTTGGAGGTCATGGGTTATCGCTGAGATTTGAAATCTTATTCTGGCCGTGGGAATAAACGCCCTTTTCCTGCATGGCTGAGTAGTAACAGTAAGTAAGGCATCTTGTGCTAAGCTTAGAAAGCACTAGGTGCCTACCTGCAGGTGACTTCTGCCATTGCAAGTGGATGTTCATAATTTCACTAACATCCCAGGCCTAATTCTGTATTGTATCTGCTCTGCCACACCTTTGGAATGTCACTGAGCTGGGAGTCAGGGTGCTGGGTTTAAATGTGGCTCTGAACTGACTCAGTGGCACAAATGGTGTCTTTCTTGAAAGCAAATATACTTATACACATAAGGCAATTTCTGGGTCACCACTGCCCAATATAACAGCTCTTGTTCACATGTTGCCCCTGAACATAAGACGTATCCTAGAGGTCTTAGTACACAAATATATGTAACACAAACCTCATTAGCATTTGTGCTGATTGCATGTTGAAATAACATTTTGGACATATTTGAGTTAAACAAAAGAAATTATTGAAAATAACTTGATCTATCTTTTGTCTTTTTACTTGACAACTAGAAGATTTTGAATTATACATACAGTACATATTATATTTCTGTCATATAGCACTAATTGAGCTTCGGGAACACTTCCATTTTAATATTTTGTTTAAATTGAATCAATTGTTCTTTATGTAGTTAGTTGTTTGCCAGTATATGTTCTAGAAGTTACCAAAATTCCCCCCAAAATTGATTCACTTATATTAGTCAAAAAGCAAGAGCTTTCAATGAAGATAAAAAAGGTGGAAGCATCAGGAGGACAGCTATTGAGCCTGAAGTCCTGGGCGTAAGAAAGATACGATAATGCGGGGGAAGTTTCACTCAGGGCTCCAGAGGTCAGTGCCTTTTAAACTCCTAGCCCTTCTGTGGGCATTCCAGGCTTCACCCACGACAAGAGGAGGAAAGAATATTGTACTGAAGGTCGTTTAATGTTGATGACAACCATCAGATAGAAGAACAACCAACAACTGAGAAAGATGTTAGACCATCAGAGTTCTAAGCTACCCTGCAATGACTGTTAACTCCTGGGGAAAATGGCGCTTACTTAAAGAAATAGATCTAACGTATGTCTGTTAGTATTACAAAAATCTGGATGAAACATTAATGGTGACAGAGAGATTTATTTTAATGACTGAATTTGCCATACTGAAAAGTCATAAAAATATTTCATACAGAATCTCTTTTTGCTAAAAGGGATTACGATGTCCTCGTAGCGCACTCATTAATATGAGTTAGACTGTAAGGCACATAAGAAGGCTAAAGCCACCAACAGAAGGGGGACATTCTGGAGCATAATTAACCAATATTCAAATATGCCATGATCACAAAAATGGATTTTATCGCCCAATTAATATATTATTGAGATTAACTTCCGTCAGCATTCCCAAATATGAGCACACGAATTAATTCTCCAATTTGAAAAATGTGTATATTTATATCAACTATGCTTCCATATGTTGAGAGTCTCATGATTTTGCTTTCATTGCTTCTCTGGTTGGAACTACCAGAGGCTAATTTCTCTCCTTTTCCGATTTGGCCCATGAACCATGTCATATACCCTGGTGTCCATTCTTCGGTCATTTCATTCTTCCTATATTTCTAATGTCATTATTTTATTAGCGTCTTTATAGAGGCCCACTGACACAAAGAGTTTAGCATCTCTCATCTGAAATTTGGAAGCTGAACAAGAAAAAGACAAGGGAAGAGAGAGAGTGAAGGGATAGCTTCATAGCTGAGCAGGAGTTAGGTGCATAGGGGCCTAGCAAATCCGCTGTCTGGACCTGAGGGTATCTGGGTTTTTGTTGAAGACTACATATTTCAGGAACGAAAATAGCAACTATCATACTCTCTCAATAATAACATCACAACATTGCCCAAAATAACAAAGTTAATTCAGTATTCACTGTTTGACTGAGACAAAATAATGCATGAAGTCACATATAATTCTCACGATGACCCTAAAACAGGTGATTCTTTTATTCAGAGAGACTAAGCTACGTGTATAAAGGAATCAAAGCTCGTAAGTAGCTAAATAGTGGCTCCGAATTTGATTGTCAGTTTCAAAGACCCAGGGGAACTTGCTTCCCGGAGTTGAAAACAAAATTGTAGCCCCCTTCCCATCATCACTACTTAACATTTCCATAAGGCTGGCTTAACCATCATCAGTATTCTTTGGGGAAAGTAATTTCCAGTGGTATGCTGCCTCCCCTGCATCCCTTTCCATCTGTCTCCTTGGAAAGATGATTGGCAGCTGAGCCTTGAATCTAAACATTCCGATGGCATCTGCAGCCTCAGGAGTTCACAGGAAGTAACTAACTGGGAAGTCTTTAATCGATGCAGTAACTGTTTTCTGATCCCAAGAGAATTTCGGCACTGGGGAGTAGGACTCATGGGGCTTTCAGGGAGACATCGGCACAGTTATGGGAAGTGTTGTCCAACATATGTATGAACCTACCACATCACACACTTACTTCACATGAAAAGATTTTCTAGGACTGAGGTCCCTTTTGCAGCTAAGGAATCAAAGTGTTAGTTAAAAGCAGGGTTTCTTGTCTCCCTGGAAGACCTTTTCTCCCTTGCCAATATATGACTGTTTATATTTCTTGTTCATTTCTCCGGTCCTGAAGATATTTTCTTGCTTGCTAAACCAAATTTTCTCTAAATTGCTAGAGCAGAAAAACACCCCAAACTGCTTATTCCATCAAAACCGGTTCCTATATTATATTGGCCAAAATGAAATCCACTAATCCAGGGCACTAAAGCTGATAATAAGAGAGACAGGCTCTTGATAAGTTTTTAACAAATTCTCTGGAGTCAGAGTTGGCCATAACTTAACCTGTCAATCTTCCCGACTCATAGCTCTCTCCTCCTTCTACTGGATAATTGTATTTAGTAATATTGCTTGAGTTACTGTCATCTAAGCAGAGAAAAGAAAGAGAATGTGGCCAACTTTCATAGCATTTAGGATATTGCTAAGTTTTAGAAGATGTTTGAGCGTTTCTTAAGTTGCAATATGGTAAATTAGTTCACTGTGTCAGTGTAGTATTGACTGCCCTCACCCTCTCCTTAGCAGTACTGGAAATGTAAATAACGGTCTTTGCAACAGTTCTCTCAGGCCGTCCAGGCTTCATGGCTAACAAGAGGCATCCTGGGAGGCTGCCATGACATCCCAGTTGCCATTTTCTTGTTAGGATGGCCCAGTACATAATTTAATTTTTCTGTTTCTTTTTTCCCGTTAGTAAAACAAAAACAAGAGTTTCTTTGTTTGCTGTGTCTTATGTGCTTGCAGATCAAATAAGAAACTGGGAAGATGCTTTGAAGACTATGTAAGTATTTAGTCATGTAAACATGTGTTGATAAACATTTAAATTGAGAGAGACACAGAGAAAGCATCCAGACAGAGAAGGAGAAGAAACGAGAATATACACAGAGGTAGGTTAGAATGGAGGATTTAGATATATTTTAATTTTAATTTCAATGCTTTCACTCCCTTTGGAGGATTGATAAATAATTATTGTTGACTTTTTAGCATCTACTTTGAAAACCTTCTAGAAAAACCTCTAGTCCCTTGTTAGTCCCCCTCACAGTCTCAAACAACAGGAAATTTACTCAACACTGTCAAAGGCGTGGAATGCTTAGCTTAATTCCCCAGGTATCTATAGTGTCATCACAATTATCTAAATATCTAATCTAAAATTCACATGTGGTTATAAGGCCATTATGTTTGGTTTCTTCTCATTGGCTTCCATAGACTCATGAGTGTTCTGGTGTGATCTTTCCCACTTTTTAAACTTAGACCCAGATATCTCCATTTTATTTCTGAGCCAGTTCTGTTCTTGAGTCAAAGGCCATAACTTAAAAATATCTTTTAGGTGGTCTCCTGAGAAATCAGAAATACATTTCATCGATCCATTTAATTCACGATTACTTTTTCTGCTAGTCCTGAATCAAAGAGGAGAATTCTTGTTCAAGCTATCCTGTTACTTCCCTATTACTGTAGGTATAAGCTGTGGTACCTAAAATATCTCAAGGTGAGCACTTCCCTTACGTAAGTACTCCCCTTGGGTGGATACTCCCCTTGGGTGGATACTCCCCTTGGGTGGATACTCCCCTTGGGTGAGCACTTCCCATGGGTAAGCTCTTCCTTTGGGTTAACAATCCCCTTGGGTGAGCACTCCTCTTGGGTGAAGCAACTCTTACCACAAAGACTTCACAGCAGATGCAGAGGCCGCTATTCTTCGTAAAAGCATGGGTTATATCCAAGAGAGCCGGTCTTGCCATGGGTCCCCCTGTCAAGACAATGCACTGGGGTCTGAAAGGAAAGAAGACATGAGGATTGGCCAGTGCAAGAAGCATGTGAGCCCAGAACCCCACAAAGAAAATAAGGTAAAAAGAAGAAAAAATAAGAAAACGTGGAGAAATGGGACATCCATTTCCTTAATAATTTCTTGGATTTCCCACCAGAGTCCTATAATTATCCTGACTGCATCTTGCCATCTTAGTAAGTTTTGTTTAACTAATCACAGTAGAAGTATGAAGTAGGGAAAGGGTAGCCCCAGGCTCCCCTTGTCATTCTTTTTTGGGCACTGCATCACCTCAAGTCTCCAGACGCCTGTCCATCTCTCATCAATATTTTCCCTTACCTTCCTTGTTGGCCTTGTTGTTGCCTGTGTTATGAGGCACCACTATATATAACTAATGAAGGTCTAAAATCACTGCTTCTCCTAAGGGAATTCAGTAAACTACCAAGTCCCATATTGAACGCAGATAACACCAGCGATTAACACGCATGGGGATCTGGCAGATAGCCCTCTGACAACATGTCCTTTAGGTCTTTGTGACTCCAGGCACAGAATAGCAGTGTGAGGAGCTGTGACTCTAGGTGGGCAGAGCTCAAAACAGAAGGAAAAACCTGCTCATTTCTGCTCTTTCTAACAGCATGATTTCTATCCAAGAAAGCAGGCCTTCTGCCATTGTGAAATTAGGTAGCTTTGCTATTCATGTCTGAAACGAGCCCACAAAACTACTCACAGCTACACTGATGTATTTGGCTTCCTCTAAATGAAAGACACTTGGAATGTGGAACCCCAGGGGACCCCAAAAGCCAACATTACCTGAAATTTTTCACATGGTCTTCCACTGTGGTTAGTTCCAGAGCGTTGTCTAAAGCGCTCACATAGGAAAGCGCCTGGGTGGAGGAACCCCAGTTCACATCTGTGGACAAAGGAAGAAGTCGGTAGCTCCCCCAAACTGACCTTTTCTCTGCATGCCTTAAATAATTTTTAGTAAACCATTCTCTCCTGCAAGTTTTCTTGCCTAGGCAAGCAGTGATGAGAGCCCAAGGTAGAGAAAACACAACATAGTGTTTGCTGGAAAGAGCCTTGTACCCTCCCGTGAGCACCACGTGAATCCTCAGGAATGAGCCTCCCTTCCAGCCAGGGTCACAGGGTGAATCTGCAGCCCCAGAAAGCCAGCTTAGTAAGAAAGGCTGCGTGGTGATGACCACACAGGTAGAAAGCTCAAGGCCTTCACAAATTCTTCAGTAGAAAACAAAAGAGGGATTTCTGTGTGCAGGGGTAGCGCGTGGTCATCTTTCTATTCGGAGTGGCAGAACTGATCAGCTTGGGAAGTTTTGCTTGTGGGGGTCATGAGGAGAGTTTTCGGCTCTTTAGCAAGTGTCTCAGCCTGGCCTGCCAGAAACTAACCTTTCAAAGAGGGAGCTCAGCGCTCTCCCTGCTTCAAAAGCAGTGAATTTAAATATTAAACGGACTCAGTCAGTTTTATGACGGGAGTCCCAGAGATGAGCTGACAGATATCTGCCCCAGATGGCAGGTCTCCCAAGGCTTGTTGTGGAGCGTGGGCACAAGTGAATATTTTATCTGAGGATTGAGCAGCGTAATATGAAGTGTTGACTGTGTGTGTGTGCGTGCACACACACGTGCATGCTTGCATGGCGCAACATATGTGTTGGTGGCCAGAGGGCGAGTTTTGGGAGTGGGGTTTTCTCCTTCCTCTGTAGGCTTGAAAGATTGCATTTGGGTCTTCAGGCTTACACGGCAAACATTTCACCCGCTGAGCTAAATTGCTGCCCGATACTCACCCTTTAAAGGCAAAACCCTCTACTAGTCAATTTGATATTCATATGTAAAAAAAGGAACTTGAAACCATACCATTCACCAAAATTAACTGCAGTAGATAATGGACCGTAATTAATCAATTATCAAAGTAGTAAAAGTTCTAAATGTCTGTAGCCTTAGGTTAAGGGAAGATGTCTCAGGTCTCTCTCTCTCTCTCTTCTCTCTCTCTCTCTCTCTCTCTCTCTCTCTCTCTCTCTCTCTCACACACACACACACACACACACACACACACACATTATAAAAGATAAAATATAAAAAAGAAAGATCAATTAGTCTTGATAAAAAATAAGAACGTGCATTGATAAAAATAAACTATCAGCTAAATGAAACGAGAAGCCATGGGCCTGGAGAAATAGTTAGAAAGCACATACTGCAAGAGGAGCCAGACTACACACGGAAGCCTCACAATTGAGTTAGAAAGCAGTAAAGAAAAGAAGACTAAGGATTTAAATAGCTGCTTAATAAGATATATAAATGGCATGTACGATTTTCAGTGTCATTAGTCACCAGAAAAACACAAATTGAGTGACAGAGGCTAGGACTATGCCTCTATTATGGGGACTTTAAAAACCAACTGACAATGCTACCTGCTGACAGGGTGTGGAGTGACCAGTGCACTTTTTTAAACTGCTGTTTGGAATGGAAACCAATACTGCTATTTGGCAGGCAATCTGGCAGTGAAGTTACGTACACTATGTATAAGCAGTCTTGCTCCTAAGCATTTACTCAACAAAAATAAAAACACTGATCCACTTAAATCATATGTATATATTACATATATAAATAACACACTATATTAATATATGAAATTGTACATAACATATATATTCCAAATTGAAAATGATCCATATGTCTATGAACTGTCAATCAGCAGCAGAGACTTGTGGTATGTTCATCTATAGAACACCACTCATTAATATCAAAGGACAAATTGCTTATCCATGCTACAGTATGGACAAATCTAAAAGTTCATGGTAACTCAAAGACATCCATAAGGACTATATACCCTGATTCTATTTATATGGTATTCTGGAAAAGACCAAATCATAGGTTCAGAAGTTAGAAAAGTGGTTGCTCGGAGCTAAGTTCTGGAAAAAGAGCCTGGACACACAGGTGTCTAAGGGGAGTCTTGGAGAAATCCTACACTTTTATTGTCATGGTGACAAGGCTTTATAAGTTTGTCAAAACTTATGACTGTATATTAAAAGGGGGTGGAACTTTCCCAGCTGTAAATTGTACCTGTCATTAACATTGTATGTAACCAAAATTTACTCCCGTTCTTGTCCCTGGAGTCTCATTCTCTGGATCTGGCATAACCCACCTCCAGGTGGCTTGATATTGTTTTAGAATTTAATCCATTCATATCAACAAATATGTATTAAATTCATGTAGAGTGGTTGGCTCTGTGAATACAAACTGTGAACCAAGAAAGAATTCTGAACAACTCCAAGGTTGCTCGCACCTCCCCATTTCTCCAGCAACCGGTTCTACGGCTCTTGTGATACTCACTCTTGGCTGTGAGTCTGAGAACTCCTTTAGGACAGACGCCCTAGCTCATTAGGACATTAGAAGAAGGAGATGGACGGAAAGGCTGGCGAGGTTTGGAGTCACACGCCTGTGATCTGAATGTCAGCTCTATCACGTTCTGACTTTTATTTTGGCAAGTGATCAACTCTTTGGAATTTCTTCACAACTATAAAGCGAGCCTCAGACCATCAGGTGTGCAGCATCACTGTGTAGATCAAATGAGCACACAACTCGTGTAGTGCCCGGTGCTGCTAATGACCATTGTCTTTATATTACGCAACATTGTGATGGACTACCTTGCACACACTACATGTAAGCATGTGTAAGCTACATGATAAACATTCAGCGGTTGGACAGAGAAGGCCATGGAAGGCCATCCTAGGTGGCCTTTATTCTCTTACCTGGCTTCTTATAAGTCACATAGATATAGAGGGATAACTCGATGACATAGGTGATGACAGCTGCCCACCAGTTGATGACGAACATGACCGCACAGCACAAAATTGCTCCAAAAAGAGATACCCACATGTTGTAAATCCCATATGCTGGCCTCCATCCTGGAAGGAAAAATAGCACAGGAAAAAATTTTGCTGCTGTCCATTCCCTATTGTAGGGTGCAGAAACATGTTTTCCTCTGGCATAAAAAAAATGTAGTTTTTAGGTTCATTTCCTAAATCAGCTGTTTTTCTATGTTCTTTGATCCTTGGTCTACAAAGAGGTCTTTTTTATACCAAAGACGATGCTGTAAGATTTGGGAAATAGAAAACATCTGGAAAGCAGGTAGGCATCATCAACCAGACCCCTCTGTGCTTCCTGTGTGTCCTGACTGTCCTCCAAGATGACCAGGCCTCAAGCATCTGAAATCAACACTGTCAGGAACGGGAAGAAAGAAAGTAGGTTGGAAAATACAGTGTCTTTGCAACAGGTAGGGTGGAAGACTCTCCTGTCTACTCAAGAACCAGTTACAAAAGTGGTCCTTTGCTCCATTTGTAGAGCAATGGAGACAGCCTGCCTTATAATCATCCTAAGAGGACAGTGTTTGGTCCTTCAGGAGCAATAATCTTACAGAAAAGGGAAATGTTTCTTAAACCCAACACATTGATATATAGATATGGATATTGATATAGATATAGATATGATATTTCTAGACAGAGTTTCTCTGTAGCTTTGGAACCTGTCCTGGAACTAGCTCTTATAGACTAGGCTGGCCTTGAACTCAGAGATCTGCCTGCCTCTGCCTCCCGAGTGCTGGGATTAAAGGTGTGCACCACCACCGTCTGGCATAGCGCTATATTTTATAAAGCATCTGCCACAGTTACAGTACACAGGTTTACATGTTTCCTTAGTTTTCTGAAGTGAAAGAGACTTTGGTCAGGATGGGAAAACCTGAGCTGGAGGGTGCATTTGGTCAATGGATGAATACAACTTTAAATCTGGACTTGCTGGAATACAACTGCTGGCTCTCTAGAGGAGCAATTTCCTCAACGACCACAAGATGGAAACAGCACTCCAAGAACGCCTTTAGAAAAGCCTTTCGTTCTGCTTCCTTTTGAGAGGCCAATGGAAGTCAGGTGGATGGGGAGAGGTTAAGGTGGACTTGGGGAGTCATATTTGGGGGTTGTGTACCTACATGCGTCTTCGTGGATACGTTTTTTTTCTATTTTCTTCCCCTTTTATTCTTTCCTAGTATTCCTTTCTACTCCTCTTATAATTGTTGCAACTGTCTTGTTTTTTTTGTTGTTGTTGTTGTTGTTTTTTTAACTGCAAAACATGGCATTCATGTTAAGAGACAAACCACACTAAAACTCGAACTCTTCAGTTACTTGCTGTAACCCAGTAGCCCTGCGTGGTTGCAGGCTCCCCGGCCTCCTTTGCAAACCTTGCTGCCAATAAGGCTAAGGATGATGGCAAATTCTAAAAGAGTATTTATTTAGTGTCTTGGACAGAAGTCCTCATGAAAAAAAAAACATTCTGAGAGTCATATGACTACCAGATGACTTTCTAGAAGGGATTTTATTAGGCAGTGGGAGCAGAGAAGAGATGAAGGGTGATGAGCAAGAGGAAGGCTTGGGTGTGGGATTCTAAACCATTTAAGAGCACAGCCCGGTTGTGCGCTGAGGCCCCTGGGGTGAGCACGGCACTGGCTCTGCATTGTCTCTACTCAGCAGGTAATTACGGGAACTGTTCACCCTTCTCTTCTGCACCATGGGCAGGAAACAAATTGATAGCGAGGAGGTCTCAAATATATACATTTATTCCACTTCTGTGGTCACTTTTACCCTGGAAATAAATAGTGGTGTTTTTCCACTGCCGAAATAAATGTGGTTTCTCTTGCAATGAATAATTTATTGCCACAGGAGAAAATTGACTTTACGGTTGGTCAAAGAGGCCATTGCTCATATGATTCTTTTTCTATTTCGGAAGTCATCCCCCAACTCACCAAAATAAAGTGGATTATGCTGCCTACTAAGATATAAGGAGACATAAAAACACAGATTGAACACTTTTCAGACTTATTTCATTTCATTGAGATGAACTAACTGTTTGCTTAGGTTTATGTTTTCCATGTTGGCTTACCTGGAGATTTGGCGTAGGAGGCATGGAAGCAGGAGAAATTAATAAGCGCATACGAGGCCAGGAAGAAGTTGGAGATGATGGGCGCTATGACGTTCAGTTCCGCTGCAAGAGAAAGAACAGCGCGTGTGCCTCTGAGCAGGGAGAGTGGGGGGCTGGACAGCTCTTAAGGCCTGGGAGCCCAACCTTTTCTGGACATCGGAAACAGCTAAAATCTGTCAAAGTTTAAGGAGTTAGTGATTTTCCTTTGAGGTTATGTACATACGTTCAGTCAAGGTCTCCATGGGGTGAGACTCAAGACAACCTGCTAATAGGAAAATAGACAACCCAGATCTCTGTCATTACCAGGACTAAGCCCATAATGACCTCTTCTTTAGCAAGTTTGGGCACACACCAAACTTGCTATATAAACTGTCAAGAAAGAGGCTCTGAGGATGGAAATTCATGTGGTTTTAAAGGAGATAATTTAATTTGCACAATATGTTAGATCAATTTTAAAGGAGGTAATTTAATGTATACATTTTTAAAAAGTTGGTTGTGCGATCTTTTAAATCCAGAAGGGGGCTGGTAAGATGGCTCAGGGGGGGAAAGGGTATGCTGCCAATTCTGACCCCTGGAGTTAGATCCCAGGGACCCATGTGGAAGGAGATAACCAGCTCCCCACAAGTTGTCTCCTGACCTACTTACAAGCTCAGGAGTGTATACTTGTGCATGTACACACACACACACACACACACACACACACACACACACACACACGTAATAAGACATTTAAATGCAGCAGAGGGCAATATTTTGAAGTCTTAAAGAGTACATTACTGGACTATCTCTCTATATAAACCATTTTTTAAATTTAATTTCTTAAAAATCTAGAAAATTTAATAGGAGTTATATGTAGCCCCCCTTCAACTTCATAGACATCATCTAAGGACATATAAATTGTAGTAGTTCTCAGGGTTTCACACACAAGGAACTCTTAGCATTAGCCTTAAGAGAGAACAAGGGTCATGAAGCCTTCTTATGACCATTGGTTACTTCTAGTTGGCCTGGGAAAGAAAACTTAAATAATAGTCCAGGTAAGCGGTTCTCCAAAAAGCTCCATCTAGGAGCGATTTGAGGAGCTTGTGAAATGCAGATTCCAAATCCTTGGTGATTCCAATTCAGCAGCCCTGGGGTTGGGTCTGCAAAATCTGGGCTTTCAGAGACACCCCGGTGACTCTGAGTGCATGGTCAAGGAGCTACATTTGAAGAAACACTGGTACAGACGATTCAGCTTGCCAGCTTGGAGCTATTGGGCTAGTGCATAGAGCAGGGAGGGGAGAGGATGGGGTCTCATGGTTAGGACATGTTGAATTGGAGGAAGGGCTCAGATGCACTTGGCTAGAAGGGCTCCTAGCATTCAGAGAACAGACAGAAGCCTTAGAGCCCCTCACCTCCTCAAATGCCCACTTCACGTAAAGATTTCTCATTTCCTTCTCAGACAAACAGTGTATTATACAAACTAGCTAATTTCTCAGACCAGCAGCAAAAGCCTGAGTTATAAGAAGACTTTTTGGTTTTCTATATCACATGAAAACTACACACCGATGAGAATGAACGCCATGGCTATCACAAAAGTGAGAAGGTATCCTCTCAGGGGCTCGTTGTTTTTCCCATATCCCTTTGCGAAGAACTGCAGTCCTTTGAAGATGTTGTCCTTGCACAGGGCCTAATGGGAACGAAGAGAAGACATTTGTCATTTCTATCTATGCACAGTCCTTTTCTCTAGGTGATTCAGAAAAGAAGATTTGGGAAAGATTAAGCGATGCACAAGACGCGGCGCAAGCTCACACTGCGGCCCATCATTCTTTATATGATCGGAATCCATCTCGACTATGTGGCAGACACAGCACTTGGGCCCGATGCAAACATTAACGGTTGCAGAAAATGATGGAAAGTGACAGCTGGCGGGAACCGCTATTCCAGCTAGTTTCGCAGGCAGTGGAGACAGCGCAGTCCCCATGGCTGTATTACCTGGAAGACTTTGGGCGCACTGACGAGGGAGGCCAGGGCCGAGGAGAGTGTGGCGGAAAAGATCCCTGCGGTGATGAGGGGGCCGAACCCTGACACCATGCTCATGACCTTGAGAAGAGAGAGGGCTTCGGATAAGGCGGTTCACCCAAACAGACAGTTGGAGAGTTAATTGTTCTCCAAGATAGTTTCTTACTTCTCCACTTCCTGTGAGTCTTACCCTTATAAACCAATGCTTCCCCCGCCCTTGAATTTGTAATACTTCTCTTTCCAAGGTGGAATGACCTCTTCTTTTATTTACCACCCACTAGATACCCACCATAAAACATTTAGAAAACCCCGGAAAAGCTAAGGGATGGGGTGCTTTCAAGGACCTTCACAGCACCTCCCTTGTGTTCTCTGTAGCTTAGGTGGGAGGAAGCTTCTACCCCACAGCGGGTGGTGGTGCGCCGGTGTGAGGACGGCTCGCCTGCCTTCGCTCTTTTTAACGCATCGATTTTCCTTCTACGGAAGAGTTTCTGAACCTTTGCTTTTCCTGTGCTCTTTAAGGCTACTTTATTGTTCGACATAATCGAGATACTCGTGAGGACCCCAGAACAGCAATGAGAACGGGACCAGGACCAATATGATCCCTGGGAACAGGTTTTACATGTTTATGAGGAACCTATCAGTGTGAACCTATCAATCATACTTTGGAATAACGATTTCGGCTGAGATGATGTCTCTGTGCTGGTTGTTAGGATTAGATGGACGCAAACGTCACAGTCCGTTTGCTTCTCCCTCTCTTTACCCACCACGTAGGATGACAATTAGCATGTTTCAAATTCTATACTTTCCCATGCTGCTTGGCCCTCATTTTTGCCCCAGTTTCTCATTCACAATTTCTCCTTGCTGTGTCTCTTGGCCATGTGGGGCTGCCTTAGGTTTCTCTAATCTAACGCCTGTACACAAAATACATCCCGCGTGCCAACTAGCCTCTCTTTCCTGGCACAGTATCTCACAGAGTTGACTGAAAGCTAAGGAACAACATGGTGCTCCCTCCTGGCGACACAACTCACACCGGTATTGTCTCCTTACCATGGCGACTGGAAAGCACAGAGAAACTCTCCGCCCCCCCCCCCCCCAGTTCATACCTGAAAATTGTTCATCAGCCCGTACTGACAAGGTTCGTGCTGACATCTTGAGAAGTCGTAGCCCAGTCCGCAGGCCGCGGACCCGTTGCAGGTCATCCCAGAAACGATGGTGTCGTTTACGCTTCCGGTGGCGTCTCTGACCACACATGCCGCTGAGGAGACAATGTTCATCTGTCATTTCTTCTCTTCCTAGCTCCTTTTCAGAGCTAGGGACAGCACCAAGGGCCTTGTGCTTGTGACGCAAACACGCAACCCTGAGCTAAACCCCTGACCCACGTCCTCTCACCATCCTGTCACCCCTGTGTCAGAGTCTGGCTCTCCAAGGGCTTCGGTCTAAAATGTGCTTGGCTGGCACTGAGTCTGAACGCATATTTCCAGAGCCCCAACTGTCAATTCTTCTTGAGACGTGGTCGCTGGAGCTCCCATGAGTCCTGCGAACACCCTGGCTTTTACAAGCTGCCGATCACACTGCCTTGGGTGCCCCTGAGACTATCTTGTAGGAGTTCTGGGTGCTGAGATGCTGTCTTATTGTCTGATCTCCTAAAATGTGCGGTGCTTTGGCCTAAATGCACATAGCTTATACCTTGTTCAGTTCTTACTGACCACGTGATTTTTAATAATTCTCATTACCCGAGAGGCGACCGAGGCAAGGCACTAAGGAATCTAATAACCAAGAGGATGCGGCCTCGTTTTCAACTAATTCTTTGCATACATTTTAGAAAACATAGCAATAACCCTACTTTAGATGTAATTTTAAAAGCTTTTTTTGAGATTATAATGCAATTACATCATTTCTCCCCTTCTCTGTCCTTCCTCCAAACCCTCTCACATGTCCACCTGTCTTGTTCTTTCAAATTCGTGGCCTCTTTTTTGTTTAATTGGTGTGTGTGTGTGTGTGTGTGTGTGTGTGTGTGTGTGTGTGCTTCTAAACACATGAACAATGTACTTAGTCTGTATGCTGTTTGCCTGTATGTTTTCAGAGCTGGCCATATAGCCTTCGATCACGAATTGCTGTTCTTTTCCCTGGGGAAGACTGTTTCCCCTGCTCTGGTGTTCCTTAGTTCCCTGTAGCTCTTGGTGTGAGGCTGAGATTTCATGGGCTTCCCCGCCCCCATCCATGTTAGCATGTCTATTGGCGGCCTCCTTGTTCAGGTCACATATATATCATTTTAATTGCTTAATAATAAAGATAGCACCTCACAGTAAGACATTCACATAGTTTCTGCCTATGTGAGCACTGGTGAAGATAGTATAAAAAATATTAGACTTCATCCCAAACAGAAATATGGGCAAGACTTTGGAAATCCACTAAGGAAGGAAAGGGGAAAAGTGCTGAACAGGGATGTCCCGCTCCACCAGGCTAGCAGAACCTCACCTGTGCAGTTCCCTGGCTGGATCATGGAATTCAGAAGCCACTTCCAAAAGATAAGCTAGGTGAGGGTCAGGCAGTTCCGTCCCCAGCACAAGTCAAAGCCTTCATGAGCTTAAATCCAGTTGTAATATTTGGAGAGACAGTGATCTCTCCAGCTGATGAGGCGACATCGGTGAGAGAGATCCTGTTTAGTCAATGGAACTTAGGGTAGTGGGGGCTGGGAGGCATCTTGGTGATCCTCCCTTGGGTCTATTATAACACTTTGGTGATGAATGGTCCAGGGTGGTGGTTGTGGAGAGCAGAGAGCTGGACATGGATGTGCTGAAAGGTCCAGGTGGCCAGGGAGAGATCTCATCAAGCCTGGCATTTGATGCCTCTGAGCCTGAAGCTTACAAGTAGATGAAATTCTGGAGATAACTGTGGTCCACTGCTCTACAGCCCAAGAACTCAGAAATTCTAGGGGTGCAACTCTAGCAGGTGATTAACACTCAGTAGGCCTTGGCAGTACCAAGTCAGGCCCTCCACGTGTACCCATCTTGGTGCTGTGGTAGCTCCCACATTCCCACAACCTTCTGCTAGAACAGACATATCAGATCTATGACCTGGGAGTCTCAGGAAAGTGAGAGAACCTGTCCAGCTCACAAAGGGACACAGAGAGGCCAGCAGAGGCCCCTGGTGCCCTAAGGAGGAGACCAGCTGCAGTGCGGTGAGCTCTGGCAGGCACCGTGCGTTTGTCCAGTACAGACCAGGCAATGGTATAAACCAGAGGAGAGATGAGAGCCCACATACAGCTGACTGCCCTTCCCCACTGCTTGTAACTAGAGCTTCAACTCTGAAGACCCAGACAGGAGCCATTCTGACATCATTCTCCCCTATTCTTTCTGTCCTACATATTTAGCAGGATCTTCACTGGATTATATCTTTTGAAACTTTTTAGTATTTGTACTGATTTTTCTTCATACATTAATCTTATTTTATGCATTTTTTTCTAATCCTCACTTTGAGGCATTTTTTTTTCTTTTTTGTTTCTTTTTTGGCCCTTCTCTCTCCCTTCCCCCACCCCTGCCACCTCTCTACATTTTATTGTATTTTGAATTTGCTTTATTGGTTCTTTTCTTTTTAAAAGGTTTATATTTTCAATCATGTGTCTATGTATGTCATGTGGGGTTACATGCTTATGAGTGTGGGTGCTTAAGTGGCCACAGGCATTGGATCTTTTGGAGCTGGAGTTAGAGGTTGTTCTGAGCCACCCAATGTGGGCGCTGGGAACTGAACCTGGGTCCTCTGCAAGAGTAGCATGTGCTCTTAATACCTACCTAGAATCTCTCCTGCCCAGACTTTTTAAAATCTTAATATGCTATGTTTTTTAAATTTTTATCATCTTTATTATATTTATTCAATTTTGTTTTTTAACTTTTTTCATAATCAGGAAATATGTTTTCTTTAAATTTTTTCATTTTTCTTTCTGGTCTTTTCTCCACTCCCTTCTTTTCCTCTTAGCTATCTTACCTCACTTCTCCTATTTTTTCCATCTTTCTCCTCCTCTTCCTGTATCTCATTTATTTCTCACTTTATAGCACATTCTGAAATAATATCATTCTCCGCCCATGGTCACTGGTGATGTATTAGTGGCTGTAACTGATCTGTGTTGCGTGTACTTTGATGTTATCGTGGGAACAGAGTTTTGTTCCCTTCTTGATTGGTAGCGGGGACCGAGATTGAAAGAGTAAGTAACCAAATAAGAAGGTCTACCCCCTCAAAAAAAATCCAGATATCTAAACTAAGAGATGCACTAACCACAACAAACATAAGAAACTTCAAAAAGTCAGCAGCATGACTCTTACAAGAGATTGTAACTCCATGAATGCTAAACCCAAAGACATAGAGATATGCAAAATGCAACGTGACAATTTCAGTTTTCTGGTATAAATGATTAACAACCTAAAAGAAGATAAAAACAAATATATGAATTTGGTCAGGACATTGAGAGGAACATCAGTAAATAAGAAAAAAAAAGTCAGCAAAATGAAGGTCAGCAATACAGGCAAAAAAGTCAGCAACACAGAAAACTCAGCAAGGAAACAAAGATTTTTGAAAAGCAAAACAAAAAAAAAAAAAAGCCCAGAAGCATTGAAAATGAAAAACTCACTGAATCAAATAAAAAGCACAGCAGGACCGGTCACCAAGAAACCTGACAAACAGAAGGAAGAATGTCAGAGATGGAGGATGGGGTCGATGGAGCATGACCTCCAGATATCAGCACAGGAAGTGCCAGTGGCAAACAAGCATGACCACATCTAAGGACTCTAAAGCTCAGAACCCACAGCACAGACGAAAGAGGCCAGCACTAAAGACATCGAGAATCTACTGAATTATACCAGAAATTCTCCAAATTAGGGAAAGACGCCAACATCCAAGCACTGGAAGTATTTAGAATTCCAAACAGACACGATGAGAGAAGAATCTTCATAATGTCAAAATGTCGAAAATATGGAGAAAAGAAAACCATCTTAAAAGCTGTAAGGGGGAAATGGCAACTCATCTACAAAGGCAAAAACAGCAGGATAGCACCAGGCTTCTCACAGGCCACCCTCAAAGCCAAGAACGCTTGGAATGAGATATACAAGTACCCAAAGCAAATAACTGTCAGCCACGAGTGCTATATCCAGCAAAATTACCTTTTAGAATTGATGGAGAAATAAGGGCCCTAAGGCAGATACATACTATGGCAATGATGTGTGCCAAGCTCAAACTGCAGAAGATGCTTAAAGAGATATCATACAAAAAAAGGAAGGGGTAATGATGCAATTATAGTTTAAAATCAAAAATAAAAACAAAGGACAACATACGTTGGTGGGGATATGGGGAAAGATGAACGCTTAGTTATTATTGATGGGAATATAAATTTGTGTAACTCCTTTGGGAACCAGTATGAATATTCCCTAAGAAACTGAATATAGATTTAATGTAAGACCCAGATATACTCTTGACTTTATACACAAAAAGTTTTAAGTAGACATATCTCAGAGATATATGTATATCCATGCTTATTGCTGCACTGTTCACAATAGTCAGGACATGGATGTAGCTTAAATGTCTATCAACATATAAATGGATGGAAAACGTACGTGATGTCTACACAATGAAATTTTTGCTGCCAGAAAGACAAGTGAAATTATGACAGAGGAGGGGAAATTTGAAAATCATTATGTTAGGTGAAACAAACCAGCCCCAGAGAGACAAATACTGCCTGTTTTCTTTCAGATATAGAACCTAGATTTAAAATTATGCATACATGTGAGTGTGTATGTGTTTGTAGGTCAAATAGCTAGAATGGAGATGATGATAGGGTAATGGGACACAGGAAATAGGGAAGCAGGGGCAGGAAGTGTCATGGGGAAGAAAGAAGAGGAGGGTGTGGGAAAGAGTAGTGGAGAAGGGAACAACTCAGGACCAAGAGTACCAACAAATACTTCTGGGGATGCTGTAATGGCATACTTCCCTCTGTATGTTAACTGAACAAAATAAGTAAATCATAAGGCAATACTTTGGGATAAATATTATCATTGCCTAATTATCCATTAATATTAATGATGAGACAATCTTACTTCTGTTTTATTTTTCACACATTTGAATACTTCCATTATTTTTTATTATACACTATGTATGATAAACACCTTTGTTCATTTAAGTTTTCTTCTAAATTTTAAAATATTTCTCCAGGGTAGAGTCTCCAAAACAGAATTGTGAGCATTTAAAAATACTTTATGTTTTTAGATGTCCTTATTTGTTTTTCATGTGTATGTATGCTTTGCCTATATGTGTTTATGGGTACTACATAAGTGTCTGGTTCCTGCAGAGGTCAGAAGAGGGCATTGGAGCCCCTGGAACCAGAGTTACTAATGATTGTGAGTTACCATGTGAGTGCTGGAAACTGAACTTGGGTCCTTCTCAAGAGCAACAAGTACTCTCAGGAAGAATAAAATTTATGCTATTTGCCAGAAAAATGGGTGAACAGAAAACATCATGATAATCAAAATCAGTCAGACTCAGAAAGATAATTATTTCAGGTTTTCCCTCATATGTAGAATTTACATTCAAATCTAGATCTCTATACGTACATATATCTACATACACACCTACACATATAATATACACATACACATATATGATGTGGAAGTAGAACGGGGCCTAAGTAGGGAGAGGGAGACTATTTAGAGGGAGGGAAGGAAGTACAAGAAAATGCTGGGGGTGGGGCAAGGATGAGAAAATACAATGATGTACTGGGGAATATTTGATCACACTGTGAACTCTGAGTTTGCATTTCTGTTAATTAAATAAAATTAACCTTGGACCAGGAGGCTGCATAAGGATTTAAAAATGCATAAAAGATAGGATCTTTGTAAACCAAGTGCCAACAAATAAAGCTGTTCACTTGGCTTTCCCACTCCACCCTGGGTGGTCTCTTACTCATTACTACTACCTTTAAGACAGCTCCCAAGGTGGCTCATTGGTCTGAGGGTATGACTCCTGCTTATGGAGTAAGAGGTCACTGGTTCTAATCCTAGATGAACCTTCTTATTAGGAGCGAGGGACAAGTCTCAGTAAAGTGTTCACTGCACATGCATGAGGACCTGCATTTGGACATCCGGAATCTATGTAACATCAGGCAGGTCGTATGTGTCACCCTGCTCCTAAGGTGTTTCTTAAACATGCACCTGCTCGCCTAAAGCCACGGTTGGAAGCTGTAACCTCAGATGGCTTCAGTGTCATTCTGAAGTCATTGATGTCCTAACACACTGAATCAGAAAATGTCTTCCTGTGTAACCCTGCACAAAATGCGACAGGGCGGTGAACGCCTTATTAGGTTCCTCACACAAGAAGCAGCAAGATAGGAACCAGTCTTAGCTTTTTGCTTTTTTGCCTCCTCCTTCTCCTCTTCCTCCTCCTCCTTCTCTTCTTCTTCTTCTTCTTCTTCTTCTTCTTCTTCTTCTTCTTCTTC